ATCTGGAACAGGAGAGAAATTTGCATGGATCAAGGAAGAGTAGAGAGGGTTGGCGCCATACTGGGTAAGGGAGCCCCACAGCCCAATTCCTCAGCTTCTGAAAATAGTGACCTGGTTACCTGGTGAATACTGTGTGTGAGGAGCTGTGGGAGGAGGATTACTCAAAGACTCTGATAGGGGAGATCTCTGTGATTATAATAATGGATAACATTTATGTGCTAAGTATTATGCCAAGCACCATACTCTCAACACTCTTATTATTATAACTGTAATGGCCCCAGGTTACAAATGAGGAAACTGAGGCACAGAGAGGGAGAGTGTCTTGCTCCAGATTGCACAACCAGGATGACAGACACCAGAGCCTTTAACTCTAATAGAAGGGAGAGATAGATGGACTATTAAGGGCCCCTGGGGAGGGAGAGACGAGAGTTAGAAGGAGAGGGTGAGGGGTGAGAGAAGGCTTCCAGGAAGAGGAGGCGGCATTTGAGCTGGGTCTTTAAGGGCAGACTTTGCTGTAGCAACTTGGACTTGGTACCTCTGGATGCCCAGGTGTGCACCCAGCCTTGGTTATTTCCAGCCTAGAAGGCCTGCGAAATGCAGAAGGGACAGCACCAGCTTCCTTGGCTGGGTCTCAACTCCTTTTTGTAGATTTTATTGTTGGTATTGCTCTGTGAGTTAGGAGACCCCATGCGTTACAGAGTACAACGGTTCCATATGATTTTCATGGCCGTCATCTTTACAGAAGTAGATTGCCAGGGCTTTCTTCCATGGCACTGCCGGGTGAGTTTGAACTGCCAACCTTTTGTTTATCAGGGGAGCCCAAGCCTTTTGCACCACTTGCACCGTGCAGGGAACTTTCAGCTCCTTTTGAACTCCACAGAGAGGGGTGCTGCCTCGCTCCTCGCACCACTTCCCTTTGCCCGAAAAGCAGCTGTGAGGAGGATATAATGTGTTTGACCTTGATACGTCCCAGACTCCCTTCGTCTGAGGAACAGAAAATAAGGAAAGGGTGGGGATTAACATAGGTGAGTGGGCACTGTGTGCCTGGCACCTCGCCTTATTTCACCCACTGCATTATCCCAGACAGTGGGTATGTTATCCGTGTTTTATGGAGGAGGGGAGTGACTCGCAAAACTTCCTCTAATTGACAAGTGTCTGGAACCAGGATTTGAATCAAGAATTTCTGACTCTGAAACTTCTGTATGTGTGTATAAGGAGGCCTGGTGGAACAGTGGTTAAAGCACTTGACTGCTAACCAAAAAAATCAGTGGACCCATTAGCTACTTCAAGGGAAAAAGATGTGGCAGTCTGCTTTCGTATAGATTACAGCTTGGAAACCCTATTGGGACAATTCTACTCTGTCTTACCAGGTGGCTGTGAGTCAGAATTGAGTCAATGGTGATGGGTTTGGTTTTAATGTGTGTGCTGTGTGCATGTGTGTGTATGTCTGCGTATTACTTAATTGCAGTCCCATGCAGGGACTTTGACTTTTGTTTTTCTGGGAGCCAAAGATGAACCTATTCCAACTCCTCCAACAACCTTGTTTTTAACCCTTTTTGGGGTCAGGACTTCTTTGAAGAGAAGAATCTGAAGTTTCCTGACTGAGAAAAATTTACATAGAGACACATACTTTATACAACCCAAACCCACTGCCATTGGATTGATTCTGACTCTGAGTAACCCATAGGGTTTCCAAGGCTGTGAATCTTTACAGTAAATTGCCTCATCTTCCTCCCACAAAACAGCTGGTGGGTTTGAACTGCTGATTAGCAACCAAATGCCTTAACCACTGCACCACTAGAGCTCTTTTATTTTACATAAGCACCTTCCATTTTGCATATCATCTCCTACAGTTCATACACTCCCCTCCTTGCCCTCAACCCAAAAACCTGGGCTGAAAACCCACAAACCCCAAACCACTTTACTGAAATTCTGTTAAATAACTTCAGAAAGATCCTCAGAACTAGAGATGTAGAAATTAATTTCCTTAATTCTAGAAGATTGGGAGTTTCACAGAAGGATTTCTGTTATCTAAACTAACAGTCTTCACTTTTTTTTTTTTTTTTTAGTGCACTCTCGTAACAATTATGAAAGCACTATGTACTCCCAGGCACATTTTTAAGGTGACATTTGACATTTTTCATCAAAAGTTTAAATAGTTGCCAAGATTGTCATTTCCTGCATATTATATGTACTCAAAAATAAAAGAGTTATGTCATTCTTTTAAATGCCTCCAGTAGAGTTAAATACCCTAGCAACTTGATCCTACCACCATCCGCTTCAAAAAGACATGAACAGGCTTTTCTCTAACAGTCAGATATTTTACTTTTCCTATTTGAATTCAAATTTCCATGACATGTTCCATAGGGAGCCCTGGTGGTATACTGCCTAAGGCTGCTAACCAGAAGGCTGGTGGTTCAAACCCACCAGCCACTCCTCAGAAGGAAGGTTGGACAATCTACTTCCGTAGTGATATCACCTCAGAAACCCAAGGAGGGGTCACTATGAGTCGGATACGACTCGATGGCACTGAGTTTGGTTTTATTACTAAAAATTAAATTATAGAGATTTGCAATTAAGTTATATTAAAAACAAAATAAATGCTCAAAGCTCATCACTTCCTACTTATCTGACTACATTTTACTGTTACCCATGCTCTGGAGGTTATTATACATACTCTTATCTACGTGGTAGAAATGCCACTCATCTCTTCCCAATTCCACGTTCAATGACATCACATTGATAGCTTGTCATCAGCCATGGTGGGTACATTTACACCATAGAAATTGGCAGTGCTACAAATTAGTACTTTCCATCTTCCGTGTTGTTGTTGTTATTATGTACCATCGAGTCGGCCCCGACTCATAGCAACCCCTCATTGGGTTTCCGAGGCAGTATCTCTATGGAAGTAGATTGCCCCATCTTCCTTCTGAGGAGTGGCTGGTGGGTTTGAACCACCCGCCTTCTGGTTAGCAGTCAAGTGCCTTAGGCACTACACTACCAGAGCTCCCTTCCATCTTCCAGTCTATGCTAAACATTTACCAGCACATGACTGGCTTGAAGTGTTGAGAAACCTTCTTCCTGTAAGGAAGTTGGTGGAGATAGAAGAAATTCATTACAGCAATGTGATGACAAGTAACTAAAGTTACATTGTGCTCTCTCATCAGAAATTACTTTTCATGATCTGTCTCTTGACAACTAGATTAGACCCCTCCTTCAATGTGTAGAAAGCAAAGCATGCAAGCCATCTGATTTGCAAAAGGACTTGACGTGAGATCCGTTCATTTTCTCAACTTCTGTTTTTTTTTTTGTTTGTTTGTTTCATTTTCCTTTCCATTTCTCGGGGAAGAGTAGTCAGAATACCTGAACGTAACTGTTTGCCTTTAATCCTGTGGGAAAACATGACCTGACATTTGAAACTTGCTTTACTGTCAAGGCTCTGTCTGAAGAGACTTTTGGATGGAAGAGGGAAGTCACTCCCACCTCTCCACTCTACAAGGCATTTGTTGTTGTTATGTGCCATCAAGTCAGACTCAACTCATAGCAACCCCTCCTGGGGTTCCTGAGGCGGTATCACTATGAAGTAGATTGCCCAACCTTCCTTCCAAGGAGTGGCTGGTGGCTTTGAACCGTCAGCCTTATGGTTTAGCAGTCAAGTACCTTAGGCACTACGCTACCAGAGCTCCATATAAACTCATAATTTGTCAACAAATGCCAAAATACCTTTGTTCTAAAGCCATACTTTATCCACTAGAAATATATACAAGTCGGGGGAGAGAAGGTTAAGCAGCTTTACTGCTTCAATTGATCCTTGTAGGATGCTTTCATTAATAATTCCAACCATTCCTGTATTTGGAGCTGTGGTAGCATAGTGCCTAAGGCACTTGACTGCTAACCAGAAGGCTAGTGGTTCAAACCCGCCAGCCACTCCTCAGAAGGAAGACTGGGTGATCTACTTCCATAGTGATACTGCCTCGGAAACCCAAGGATGGGTCAATATGAGTCGGGTCCGACTTGACAGCACATAATAACAACATTCCTGTATTTGGGGCCCCAGAAGTTCTTCCCATCCCTGGCGCGCGCGTGCGCGCGCGCGCACACACACACACACACACACGTCTGTGTGTGTGCTGTGGGAAGATGTGGGATGGGTAAAGAGGCCCCACATACCTTTCCTTTACAAAGGGTGGAAGTGGACTTGACAATGGAGGTAAACGTAGTCTATTTTCTCAGAGAGATCTAGCTTTTAGGCAGCTCAAAATCTAGAAAATAAATCCTTTAAAAGAGGGGTCAGCCACCCTTTGATCCAAGTCTGCCCAGCACCTGCTTTTGTATGGGCCATTGCTAACTAAGAATGGTCTTTACATGTTTAAGTGGTTGAAAACAATCAAAAGAATATTTTGTGACATGAGCAAATTTCAGTGTCCATACATAATGCTTTATTGGAACACAGCCAAGCTCATTCCTTTAAGCATTGTCTATGGTCGCTTTTGATAGTGTTTGAGTAGTTGGGACAGAGACCATATACCCCACAAAACCTAAATTATTTAGCCCTTTGCAAAAAAAAAGTTTGCTGACTCTCCCTTAACGCTACTCATGTCCCTGTCCCATTTGGAAAATCCTTGGTACCCTCAGAGCGTAGAGCTCTGGTGTGAACAGAAACGCTGAGCAGGCCCTCCTGTTTCTGGACCTCAGTTTTTCCATATATAAAATGGGCTGCGACGCAACGTCTCTTAGCAGGAGGTCAAACAACCAAAGGGTACGAGGGCTCCTGGTAGGGGCGGCCTGGGAACCCTTCCGGGGCACGTAGAACGTCCCCTGGGGTTTCCAACTTGGTGGCAGGCGCACCGCCCAGGAGGCCCAGCTTTCGCGGGGAATTCCGGGCGGGGCGCGGGCGGCGGCGACGGGGGCGGACCGGGGCGGGGCCGCGCAGCTTATAAAACGGCCCGCGCGCCCGCCGGGGTCACTCGCCGCCGCCCGCGTCCTGCGCATCGCAAACCATGGTCTCCGCCCGCCTGCTCGCGCTGCTGCTGTTCCTCGTGGGCGCCCCCGCCGCCGCCGCAGAGTCGGTAGGTGGTTGGAGATCCCCGGGGGGCCGACCGGCTCGGCGGTCCCTCCTTTGTTCCTGGGAGCCTGGGATGGGGGATGTTCGGGGACTGCGCTCTCCGCCCCCAACTAGGCGCCGAAACTTTGTTAGAAAATTTGCTCTGGGACCACAGGGAGGACCGGGGACTGCCCCTCCGCGCCGTGCGCCCTTAGCCTGTTGCTCCTCCCGCCTCCCCTGGCCTCAGCCCCGCTGCAGGCTCCAGGCTCGAAGGTGACCAAGACCATGTCAAGTCTTTACCCCCCCCCATCCGCGCCCCTTGCCTCGTTACGATCCTGGGATATGCTCGGAGCCCCAAACCCCTTCCTCTAGCTCTCTGTGGGCGCGCGGGGTGTGCAGCCCCGGAACCCAACCTGGCTTGGGGGGGCTCTGTGGGGCCCTGCACCACACACGGGGGAGTGGAGGACGAAGCCCTGACCTTGGTTCTGGCCCTGGCCCTGTCACTGACTTGTCACATGGAAAAGACTTTGTCCCAACTAGGTCTCAGTTTCCCCCATCTGCACAAAAGGCAGGGGACCGGCGCTTGTCTAGGGTCCTTACTGATTGGACTCTGATCTGCTGGCGGTGATAGAAGGACTGGTTTAGGTTTCCTAGGGAGGTGAGCGTCTGCATATACAAGAAGTGTGTTTGTTTTGCTGAACCGCAGGTGGGGAGATTGAAACCCCAGCCTTGAGTGGGGTGAAGGAAACTGGGGAGAGAAGGCCTCAGCTGAGAGAAGGCTCATCTCGCTGGTTCAGTCCTAGTTTACAAACGCCCTGACCCCTCCAGCCAGGGAGCAGGGAGGCAATCTTATCCAGGAAGTTGGGGGCACGGGAATGGCTAGGAGAGAGGCCCTGCCCCCCAAGAGCCTGGGCCTTGTGTCCCCTTAGTGTCCTTAAGTCCTGACTTCAAGAGGGCCTGAGTCCCAGGAGTTTAATCATTAAAGGTAATTCCTTTGAAAGCCCTGGGGCTCCTACTTCCCTGAGCTCACTTAGAGGAAAGTCATTTCTCCATAGCAGCTGGCTTCTGTTGGGGAATGGATGAGACTCTGAGCAAATAGGCCACTCAGGGTTGTTCCAGACAGGTGGTGATGATAGCGAGTACTTACTATATGCCCAGCCTGTTCTAAGGGCGTTACAAGTAGCAGTTTGATTAATTTCCACATCAACCCAACTGTTGACTATTCCTAAACTCCCGCAGCAAGAGAAGTTAAGTAACATGACCAAGGTCACAGAGCTAATAGGGGCAGAGCTGGATTCAAATTTAGGCAGCCAGGCTCTGGAGTCCTTGCTTCTACTCCTCTGAATTCCTCTATGCGTGGCTGCTGTGGGGTCCCAGCTCAGGCCCTCTAGTGTGGCTTATAATCTGTTGAGATTTGGGCCTGGAGGTCCTCAAGGAATTCTGAGGTGGAGGGAAGCAGAGGCCAGTGTAGGGTGATGATGCCACCAAGCCAAGGGCAGCCTTGGCAAGAGGTTAGCAGCTGAGCCTGGACTAGATAGAACTCAAGACTTCTGTCTCTCTGGTGGTGTCGTGGTTAAGCTTGGGTACTAACAGAAAGGTCAGCAGTTTGAATCTACCAGTTATTGTGTAGGAGAAAGATGTGGCAGTCAGCTTCCTAAAGACTTAGATCTTCGGAAACCTCATGAGTCGGGCTGGTTCTACTCTGTCCTGTAGGGTTGCTATGTGTTGAAATCAACTCAATGCAATGGGTTTGGTTTTGGTTTGGTGGTGTGCCCTTAACTAGGCCTAAAGGATGCATTAGATTGGAGCTGTTGAGGAGACGTCCATTGGACAGTGGATGGTGTTGCTTGGTTGGGGAGATGTCTGTTAGATGTTGGATGGTGTCACTCTGGGCAGTGGGGGGAAAAAGAGGGAAGGACCTAGGAGGCTGCTGAGGTCACCACATGGGCAGTCACATGGCAGTCTTGCTCCAAGGCTGCTGAGCCTGCAGGTGCTTTGAGATGAGTAGACAGCTGTGCCCTGGGGCTGTCAGAAGGAGGCTGTGTCATTTCTGTGTAGGGTGACCAAACAGCTGGGGGAGAAGTGAGCCCTGGGCAGCTGCTTCCTGAGAGAGGTGTCCCTCTCTCATCTTGGCTTCAGCTCTCTCGATCTTGGCTAATGTCACAGAACTTCCACGTCTAATTGGGTCATAGGGTTTCCCCTTTTCCCCCCGCCCCCTTCCTTCCTAGTTTGTGGCTGGAAAAATCAGGCCTAGTCACAGCTGGCTTAGACCATGGAGATGGTCCATCAGACCTTTCATTTTGCAGGTGGAGAAGCACAGAGGCCTGAGAAGAAGAGTTTTGCCAATGGCAGTTATGACTTGAGTGCTTTCCATATGCCAGGCCTGGTGCATTTTATCCTTGCAAAAACCCGGGGTGTGGGAATTGTACTATGCCCACTTTACAGATGAGGAAACAGGTCAAACGGGTACCACTTGGTGTAGCAGAAGGAGTTCTGGTGGTGTAGTGGCCATTTTGCTGCTAACCAGAAGGTCGGCAGTTCAAACCCACCAGCTGCTCTGTGGAGAGACGATGGGACAATCTACATCCATGAATATATACCTCCTCAGAAATCCAATGGGTGCCGCTATGAGTTGGAATTGACTTGATGGCAGTGAATTTGGTGTTTTTGGTGTAGCAGAGAGCATCCAGGCCACCAGAATCTCTGTCCAGGAGTCCCCCTCCTCAATGTGCTTTTGGGACCCCTGCCCACATTTTAGGTTTAAGCTAAAGGCCTGCTCTCTCCCTGAGTGGTGCCCCGCCTCCCCAGTGCCACAGCTACCTTCCCAGGGGAAGGAGCCCAGGTGAGCACCCAGCTGCCCTCTTCACTGCTTGGCGGGATTGCCGTCCTAAACCAGTTCTTCCTGCCCCGCTGGGAGCATTCCTCTACTCTGTTCCCTGCCACTCCTTCGCTGGCCAATTAAAGGCAGCCTTGTTTTGGGAGCTGGATCACTCTCCCCCCGCACCCCCGCAGAGGTGCTGCTGCCCAGGGGCATAGCCCACTGACTTGGCACTGTTGTTGTTGTTGTTGTTGTTATTTGCCATCGAGTCGGCCCGACTCATAGCGACCCCTCCTTGGGCTTCCAAGGCAGTATCACTACGGAAGTAGGAATGCCCAACCTTCCTTCCGAGGAGTGGCTGGTGTTAGGCCCAGGCAATTCTGGGGACGTGTCCCCCACCCACCGGGTGCACTTGAGCTTATGGATGTTTCTGGTCTGCTTGAGAGTTTGCTCCTTGACTGCAAGAAGTAGGGGTGGAAGCGGAAGGTCAGGGGGTTCTAGGACCCTTGAGTGGCCAGTGAGAGCTCTTGGGACCTCTTGAGATCTGAGAGAATATTTGGGTCACTTTTTTTTTTGTTTGTTTTTTAATTGTGATTTGGGTGAAAGTTAGCAGATTCTTTTCCATACAGGAGTTCATAGTGTATGAATGTTTCATTTATTTTGTGTCATGACATCGGCTGCAATTCCCCACAATGTAACAGCTCTCTTCCCACTTCCTCCCTGTAGTTACCTCTTCCCTGTGTCCTTTTTTCCTGTGCATTCCTGCCCCCTGAGCTATCTCTCTGTGCAAATACTGCCTTTCTCTTCTCCCATGATTGATCATTCTAAGGAGTATATCTACCTGATGTAAATGTTCAGCCCATATGCCCATCTATTGTTTGGCTGGAAGCCACAGGAGTGACTTCAGTTCCAAACCTGAAGAGCAACTAGGGGTCATAGTCTCAGGGGGTCTCACCAGGCTCTATCAGACCAGTAAACCTGGTCTTTTTCTTTTCTTTTATGATTTTGAGTTTTGTTCCACATTGTTCTCCCACTCTATCCAGGATCTCCTGCACTGTTCCCTTTCCGAGTGGTTGACAGTGGTAGCCGGGCACCATCTAGTTCTGGTCTCATGGTCATATATTGTACCACACTTTGGATGGAGAGCTCTGTGACATTGGGAGGGAGGTCCCTTTCCCTCTTGGGCTGACATCCCCCATCTGTAAAATGTGAGATTTGAAGTCAAGAGCCCTTTTTCAGCTCTGACATTTTATTGTTGTCAGGTGCCTTCCAGCGATGTTTGACTCAAAGCGAGTCTATGTGGCACAGCAGAACTGCCTCATAGGGTCCTCTAGGTTGTAATCCTTATGGAAACATATTGCCAGGTCTTCTCCTGGGTAGCAGCTGAGTGCATTCTAATGCCAACCTTTCAGTTTGCAGCCGAGTGCCTAAATGTTGCAACACCAGGGTTCCTTGACATTCTGTTAGTAGTTAATAATTAATTAAATATCTACGATGCAGTGTACAAGAGGCCAAGGAAACCGTAAAGACACTAAGGCACTCCCTTACTGGAAGAAATTCGTGGTTCGTGAGTGGGAAAAAGAAAAACCCCAAGCCCACTGCCATTGAGTCAGTTTCGACTCATAGTGACCCTATAGGACAGGGTAGAGCTGCCCATAGGGTCTCCAAGGCAGTAAAAGCCGGATACAAGTAGACTGCCTTTTACTTCTGCCGCAGAGTGGGTTTGAACTGACAATCTTGACGGTTAGCAGCTGAATGCTTTAACCTTTGCACCACCAGAGCTCCATAGAAGGACCTCTTGGGATCCCCTGAGGGTTCATAAGGGAAGCATACCAAAATTCTGAGTCCCCCACGCACACACCCGGGGTAGAACTCTGCTGTTAGTGGTTAGTGAAATACCTGTCCCGTGTAGTTAGTACTTGGACAGTGTTTGTATAAATGAACAAATTCGCACATGTGATTTCATTCCGAAGGTGCATCAGGGTTATTTATTTCTAGCTAAATGTCTCCCAGTGATAGGTGAGCTAAGTATCATTATCTCCATTTTACAAAAAAAACTGATGCTTAGGGAAAAGTAGTGGTTCGTGCAAGGTCAGAACCAGGTCCGATGGATCATGCACGATGTCTGGTTGAAGCGTCCTTAGAGAACACTCCACATGAATGAGGAAATCTGTTGGAGGTGCAGTGCTTTGGAGTCGCTGGGTTGC